CAAATATTTGGATGAAGCAAATAAAATTTGTAATAATTTTAATTAAGGGAATCAATATAATAACAAATGGAGAAATAAGCATTCTTTATTCAAAATTAAATGCATAATTAATAAAATATGACTTTACACAAAACTTTCTCCTCATGGAAAGGCATCACACACATACATACACACTCAAAGAATTTTCATTGAATACCTGTTACTGACTTAAAATGTACTGCACACACTACACTCTCTCAGTGCTCTGGAAGTCTGTGTATTTAAATCCATCAGTTAACTATGAAACACTTCCTTTGCAGTAAATATTTCACATTTAATTTTTAAATATCTCATATGAAGTAAATTTCAAAATGATTAATAATACATGACTTAATATATATATATATATAACATTTTAAATCGTTCAGTGTGAGATGACATGTCACTTATTCTCTAATAGCAATAGTAATACTAATAATATTACTATTACTAGTAATGTCAACAAAATTTACTAAGGAAGTTAATAAGTTATATTTACTTCTAATGTTAGATTAAATTTATTGTTACTATATATATCTAAAGACTAAAGTAAAATTTTTACACTTACATTGGTAGAAAATGTGGTTGTTTTAAAAACCCTCTATTGAGATCTCACTACATTATATGGCAAAACTTAAAACGCAGCCTCTAAAGTATAATACATAGTAATGAATAGAGATTAATAACTTATGGAGGGGGGGGATACGGTAAGCTAATAATTACATAGCTATGGCATCATTAATACCATTTGTTGTTGTTGTTGTTGTGACCGTTACGCCCCCTGTCAAATGCATTGATTTTGAGTTGTATACTACCACTGTTATCGATATAATCCCAATAATAATACAGAAAGTTTGGTTAGTTTAAGAGATTTACGTTAGTCCTAGTCCATAGACTAAGCTAGTACATTTGTTTCTAATAATTACATCTTATCGAGTTAGTACATTGAGCTGTCTGTGGATTCCAGCTACATAACAAGTCGGAAGCTTCCAGTAAATATAGTGGTTCTACTTTGTTTCATTATGATGCTCATGTCGTCATATTGAATTACATCTGTAAAATGATCATATACAAATTATTTTTGTTGTTGTTTTTTCGGGGATCTTTAGTTAACTGACCAGCCCGTTATCTTTCTTCAAGATACTTTACAAGAGCTTTGTGTTTCTTTTTCATGAACTTTGCTCTTGGTTTTTCATGATTTATTTCAGAACGACTGAAGAGAGAACAAAATGGCATGATCAGTATTCAGCTGACTTTAATGAAGGAGGTAATTATATTAATTCTGACAAATTTGGCCCATTCTTCTTTGCAACAAAACAGATGGCTTTCTAACCAACAATCCACCCATTTACTTAAGAAGTAATTTCGAACTGAACTTGATATGCTCCATGTAATACTATGGGTTGGGAAGCCCTCTTGGAAATTTTGTAGATTCAAGGATGTGTTACGACATCGAGGTCACGTGATTAGTATCACGCCACGTCATTCTCGAACTTTCACGTCTTTTCCTTAAATCTCGTGATTCTTCTAGATATAGTGTAGTCTTGTATATATAAGACCGGCCACGAAGCGACGGGGAGACAGTGAGTAATTGAACTGCATTCAGAGAGTGTGTAATTGAACTGAGTATTGTCGAGCACGAGCACATCAGACGTTCTTTGAGAATTATAGCGTTGTTATAGAGCGACTGTTGAAATTAAGTGTATCGGTAAAGTTGTAATCGGAAAGAATAAACCAGTTTTATTTAAGAAAGGACTTGTGTCGCTAAAGTTTCGTTGGAACGAATTTACGGAAAATTAATTAACGAATGAACGGAGACGTAACATGTTTGAAGTTATGTAGGGGTTAATGGATATCTTGATGTGGTATTTTAAGTTATAGGTGGTCTAAATGGAAAGAATGGAAAGTAAGTATGGGTCCTGAGACTTCAAGTAACATTGTCGTTTAACTGGAGTACTTCTTCACTGAATTACAGGGAACTAAGAGAATTAGACACAGTTGGCCCGTGTGTCAAACATGCAAACTGATAACCTGCAATCGGCCTATTCCATATGTTTGGCTATTTTTATGACCACTAGTTGAAGTACCCTTTTTATACAAATGGCTGCATTCCGCAAATCCATACCTTTTCTTACCATAGCATTATTCTTATCAAAATGTTTTTCTTTTTTTTCACATCTTTTTGAACAATTACAATCTCATCACCTGTAGTTTATTGAACAGCTATAAGCCTGTTAACCATTGTTTCACTATGACAGCCCAAAAATATCTTCTAAAGTATTTCCTATGAGCCCCCCCAGTGGCACAGCGGTATGTCTGCGGACTTACAACGCCAGAATCCGGGTTTCGATACCCGTGGTGGGCAGACCACAGATAGCTTTGTGTTTAATTACAAACAAACAAACTTTTGCATGATCAATTCTTAATGTGTGTATTGTTACGATAACGCAGGTCACGTGACGCTTGTATCACGCCACTTCCTTCTCGAACCTTCATGAAATGTCGGAAGACTACTAGATTGGGGTAGTCTTGTATATATAAGACCGGCCAAGAAGCAACACAAGGTAATGAGTAATTGAATGTATGCTGACAGAATATTGTTGGGCACGTGAGACGTTCGTTGTGAGTTATAGCGTTTGTTATACCGCGACTGTTGAATTTAAGTGTATCGCGAAGTTGTATTCAGAAAGAATAAACCAGTTTTACTTAAGAAAGGACTTGTATCGGTAAAGTTTCTTCCGTAAGAATGTTTACGGAAAATTAACTAACGACCAGAGACGTAACAAATTGGTGTCAGAGAGTGGGATGGAAAAGAAAAAAAAATGGAAACGAGAGGCGGCAAATCAAACTACAGCTTAGCAGACTTGATGGCAACAATACAAGAGCAGCAAAAGAAACAAGAAGAACGAGAAAAGAAACAAGAAGAGAGACAAGAACAGTGGCAAGAAAACCTGCAACAATGGCAGCTCGAACAGCACAATAAACAAGAGAGATTATAGCAGTTGTTGGAGGAAAAGGAAAAGAAACAAGAAGAACGAGAAAAGAAACAAGAAGAGAGGTTACAGCAGTTACAAAAAAAAACCTGCAACAGTGGCAGCTCGAACAGCTAAATAAACAAAAAGAGAGATTACAACAGCTATTGGAGGAGAAAGAAAATAAACAAGAAGAGAGACTACAACAGTGGCAAGAAGTACAAATGGAAAACATTAGTAAATGTAAAAGCGAATTAGATACGTTAAAGGACGATTTATTGTCTTTTACACAAGGAGGATACATTAACCATTGACTTAACCAGCCCCAGACAATGGCAAGCCCCTTCCAGACCCCGCAGCTAAATCCTAATGCAGACATATTCAGTCCCGTTAGAAGTCACATCCCAGAT